AACTAATAGACATTGCCTTTAATTACATTTTACAAGCCCCATGTATCGAGGAAAGGGTGTTCACAGAGACAAGGATAAACAAGCACACAAATATACAGGAGACCGCAGAGGTTGATTTTTTCAATTTCTAAGCCGTAGGTGGTAAAACCGCATGTCCAACTGTGCCATTAAAACTGAAATACAGACTCCAGGAGCTTCAGGAACCATTGGTCATCCAGCCGAGGCAAGGAAGTCTCCGGTACTTGTTAAGAGGTGGAGGGAGCAGGGAAGTCTGGCAACATATAAAATATTTACCTATGAAGAGGCAATATATATACACATATATGGCAAGTAGATAAAGACACAGAATAATTTATTGTAATTTATCTGTAATTTATCTGTAATTTCCATAAGGAGATTACTTTATGACAATACTAGGGGGACGTTATTTTTCTAGACTTCACAGCAAGATTTGCTCGTATGAAGCACATTAACAAATGGTGCATACACTTCTGAAGGTGAAGAAAAATAAGTGGCAATGTAATGACTTCCATGCTCAGAATTCACTCACGGAAGCAGTAAGCCTTGTGGAAAAGCTGCGTCATGTGTTAAGGGCACTCGAATAAAAGCAAAACAAAAACTCATAACATTCTCTTGGGAAACAGGAGACCTACTTAAGACCACGGGGCAGGGTAGCTGGGCGGCTTAGGGACGGCTCTGGGGTGGGTGGATGCTCTGGATTTAAATGTTGGCACTAACCCTGCCCCGCTCTGTGTCTTTTGGCAAGTGACCCAACTTCCATGCCTCAATTTCCCCATGTGTAAAGTGGGCATAAACACAGCGGCTGTCCCAGAGGGCTGCTGAGGGTATTAAGGATGTGATGGCATGTGATGTCCCCACAGCGGTGCCTGGTGCCGGGAGGCATGCCCAGTGTTAGCTCATCCCCAGATCCAGAATGGGAACGTGTTAACGCCTCACAAAGAATGGGTGCCTACAGGGAGAGTGATGCGAACCTTTACTCTGAAGCTGGCATTGAAGCAAAGGTGTCAAAGAATACCTAAGGCCCTGGGTGAGCACTGCTCCAGCTGCTCTTATTCACGGTGCTCCTACTCCAAGAGCCTCCCGCTTAGGAAGGCAGCATCAAAATCCACTTATTTTATGATTTTTTAAAAATAATTGAGAGTCTGTTTTCAGCTGGAACACCAGGCCACATCATTCTCTCTTCCTGCTTCACTGCCTTCCTCCTACAGCCAACCCTGCACTACGTGAGGGGGGCCGCTGCGCTGGCCGCGATGCAAAGCCACTCCGTCATCAAGTAAGGGGTGTGGAGCTCAACCCTAGGAGTGCGACAGTTCTGGTTTGCTTCTCCAGAGACCTTGTCCGGCTGCCTCCAGACAGTTTCAAGTATCTGACCACATGGAGGCAATAACCTTCTTCAAACACCCACCTGATCCAGCTTCTAAACGTTCACGTTATTTATTTCACACACGGGGCAGCATTTGGGGGCAGAAGGATACAGGAATGAAAGTTATAGTTATCAATGACCAATTCCGATCGGGACCTAAAATGCCTCCTCTGTGGCTGACTCTCGTGCTGTGTGGGCTTGGGAATCGACTTGGATAGGAATATTTATTTGTTTGAGCTTCTAAGAGTCAGAATCTCTGTAAATGAAAGTGCGTTTACTTTAAACCAACACCTCAATGCACAGGTACACATACCTACACCCACATGCACACACACAGATGAGCATGCATGCACACACATGCAAGCACACAGAGAGATGAGCATGGGTACACATACATGCACACACACACTCATGCACATGCATGCAAGCACACACAATGAACACAGGTATACAACATGCACACTCACATGCACACACATGCAAGCACACACAAATGAGCACGGGTACACACACACACACACAGATGAGCAGGGGTACACATATCTGCACACTCATGCACACACACGCAAGCACACACTATGAGCACAGGTACACACACATGCACACACATGCAAGCACACACAAATGAGCACGGGTACACACACCTGCACACAGATGTAAGCACACACACAGATGAGCACAGGCACACATCATTTCTCAGCAGGAAGCTCCCATGGAGGAAACACTGTCTACTCAACAACTTGGCCTTAGAGTGCTAGAATTCTTGATTAGACAGTTTGGGATAACATTTTATGTAAAACAGAAAATAAAGTGTAGGGATTTTACATTCAGGCTGCTTCCCTTATCAAGACGTCTTTCCAGCTGCAGCCTGTGTACACGATGGACAGGAGAACAAGGTGGATTTTACTACCGCCAAGGTGAACTTCATCCTCAGAGTTCTCATCAAATCAGCCGCTGAGAGGACGCTGAGTGCTGCTGGCTTCTCCCTACAGAGTTTCCCTGTCCTCAAAACAATAGACTCTCTTCCCTGTTTCTAAGATGCAAAGGCTTTGGTCTAAAATGCCACTGCACCAACCTGCTGCTGCAGGGCGGGTTCCTCTGTCAGGCACCAGGCCCTGCAGAGGGGCAGAAGTGAGTAAGGATGCTGGCTGGGGAAGGTTGCCCCTGGCTCACAGCGAAGTATTCATGATTCCAAGGAGCGTGGATCAAGCCATCTGCTCACCCCAGAAACAACAGAATATCCCAGGAGAAGCTGGACAGGGTCTCTGGAGAAGCCAACCAGAACCACCGCACTCCCAGGGTTGAGCTCCCCACCACTTACTTAATGACGGCTTTGCATCGCAGCCAGCATGGCGGCCACCCTCATGTAGCACAGGGTTGGCGATAAGAGGAAGACGGTAAGGCAGGAAGAGAGAATGATGCGGCCACGATATGTCAACTAAAAACAGGCTCTCAATTATTTTTTTTAAAAAATCATAAATTAAGTAGATTTTGATGATGCCATCCTAAGCAGGAGACCCTCGGAGTAGGAGCACCAGCTTCGGGGAGTGCGTCGCATCCGACCTTTGTTGGAGCAGTGCTCACCCAGGGCCACGGAATCCACAGCCTGAGAGCAAGGATGTGGCGCTGTGCTGGGAGACCCAGAGAAGGTCGGGTCCATATGCAGAGGAGTCAGGAAGCAGAGAACAGGCATCCACACGGGCCCTGACCCACCTGCCTCAGCCTCCCAAAGTGCTGGGATTACAGGCGTGCACCACTGTGCCCAGCCCAAGTCCATCATTTTCTAGATGAGGACTCAGAAGCTGAGAGATGGCCACTGGAATAATTTAAAGACACCCAGGAGGTGGAAGCGTGGGGAGGAGAAGAGGCCAGGACCCCCACTCTGCTCCCAGGGCCAGACCTAAGGGTACAGACACACCAGGCTCTCCAAGGCTTCCTCACCTTCTATTCTCCAATGCTGTCTTTGATGTGTGGAAAGAGACCTTAACCTCAGTAAAATCTGATGCGGGTGGACAACACTCACTCCCTCGTGCTCATCCCTCAGGGAGGTCTGCAGGAATCCTGCAGCTGCAGCACACAAGGCCAAGCTGTCCCTGTTGCCCTAGAAAGCAGCAAAACCCAGGGAGGTCACAGGAGAGGTTGTGCTGCTGTGGATTTGTCCAAGGGAAGGACCACACGCATTATAAAGAGGCAAAGCCATCAAAGAAGATGCAAATTCACACCCTAGCAAGTTACACTGTGCACCTACGAGCCTGGCTAAAATAAAAAACAGTGTCAGCAGCAAACGCTGGATGCAGACACACCGAGTCACTCACACTGCTGGTGGGAACGCAAAACGGTACAGACACAGATTGGCAGTTTCTTATGAAACGAAATGTGCAATTACCCGACAACCCAGCATTTGTCCAGCAAGGCATTTATGCCACTGAAATGAAGACTTATGTTCACCCAGAAACTGATGCATGAAGGCTGGTGGCAGCTTCACTCATAAGAGCCACAAACTGGGGATAGCCCAGACATCCTTCCACAGGAAAACGGTTCATCATGCTTGGTCCAGGCATACCACGGAATGCTACCCAGCAATAAAAAGGAATAAGCTACTGATACAAGCAAGAACCTAAATGGATCTCTGGTGAATTAAGCAAAGTGCAACAGCCATGCTGAAAGGTTACATACTGTATGATGGCATTTATCTCACATCTCTGAAGTGAAGCAATTATACAAATGAAGAATGAACAGGTGGTTGGAAGAGCTTAGGGACGGTGGAGTGGTGGAGGGGAGAGGTGTATGTGACTATAATTGGACAACCAGAGGAACATTTGTGGTGATGGAAATGCTCAGTAGCTTCACTGCGGTGCAGTCCACAGCATATGCATGTGATGAAATCGTATACAGCTCCATACAAACAGTAACGAGTACAAATGAAACTGAGGGAATCTGAGGAAGATCAGTGAATGGCATCATTGACTCCTTGACAGACAAGATCTCTATCACTTCCTACAACTGCACATGAACCCACAATGATCTCCCTACAAAGTGTGATGAGAAAGAAAGACAGAGATGAACAGAAAGTTTTTTTTAAAATCCCATGTGATTGAGAATTCCACAGTCATTGTTAGTGCTTACAGAAATGATAAAACCCAATGTGCTAGAAAATTAACAAACAGCTCTCACTGGAGATGATAAACAGGGCGCAAGCTCACTATTTAATAAGTATGAAGAAAATGCTCGAGTAAAAAACACTGAAATATGTGAAATGTAAACACCTCTGAAAGCCTCGCCTGGAGCCAACAGTGGGTATGGCCGATGAAAACATGGTTAACACGAGAGGGCAAAGCGATGCCAAGCAGAACCCCACTGCCCATGATGACAGCTATGGGAGATTCAGGTTCAGCTTGCTTTTCTCCAGGGGACGGAGCCCAAATTATGTTGTCCTAAGGAAGTCACCACAAACTCTGGGTCCATTTCTCCCTAGAACTGCGTGAGCATCACAGAATTAGGAACATGGAACGGATCGTGTGACGGAAGGCAGCTTGGTCTCCAGGCAATACCGCTGCTCCCAGCAGACATGAACTGGGTGCCACAGAAAAGGTGGGGCCGCTCGCCCTGTACTTACTTATTCTGTACCATGTTCATGATCACCCAGTCGAAAGGGTAGACGTTCTTCCCAATGAGGTTCTTAAACATGATGAACGTTTCCATTAGGAAATCCTGAAAGAAAAAACAAAACAAAACACTGAAACGGCCCACCAAAGACAAGGTAAAAACGGCACCCCCCACCAATAACTGAATTCTAAAGGACCCCACTTTTAAAGGCCAAATGAGAACAGCCTGAAAGGTAATGGCTCTATTTCACAGGAGCTGTGGATTAGTCCTATCTTTTTGTTTACACATGCACCTCCTGTCTGAGATGGCTTTTTCAAGAATATATTCTGAAATAGTCCCTGGGCATGTCTCTTTAATAGTTTAAGAGTGAATCCCCAAAGGTTAGGAATAGGCATTTAAACCCTTTCTGCTTCAAGGAATACATGATTTTTACAAACAAGGCTTGCAGGTTACAGCTTTTTTTAATGTTTGCTCTAAATCCATTTTTCATGATGAACAGGACACATCAGGTTGAATATGGGATACAACTGTCTGTTCCTTTCTCTTATGGAATTTCAAAATGAAAGGCCCCCTCACTTGCACAGATTCGGCATAGTGAACCATCTGAGTGTGCGAACATGTTGCCAAAGTCTCCTAGACGGTGGCTACATCCCCAAAAGCTACCAAGTGATGCTTCTGCTGTCTCAGATGACGGTCTGTACTTCACGGGCAACTGAAAAGAAGCAGGGGTCGGGCCACACCAGCTGCTCTACCCTGCTTTTCCATGCCAATAAGACTGTGTCTGACATCAGAAAGGAGTAGCCTGTTCCCAGGGGTTCCACTATGTGTCTATCAGAATTAGGAGATTTCCTACTTTCGAGAGTTTGACACATGCTTTGAGTTAATCTGAACAAAACAAGTGGTTATTCCTAAAAGCACACATCCCTGGTAGCCGCAAGCTCACTCAACACCCACGGTGGGAAGGGAAAAGGCAACAGAGAACTGACTTAGAAAAATGAGGCCATGGTCAGGGACTGCCAAATGAGTGGATATTTCTCATTTATTTAATCTCCTGGATCATAATTAGGTGCAATGGCTGTGAAGGCCAAGGTGGTGAACAGAATTTAAGCAGCCAAGAAAACAATTCCCAGTATGAAGTTCTAAATAAGTAGCTCCTTCAAGAGGCACACGTTAAATGTGATGACAACAATGAGATACTTTCTCTCTAACTTTAATGGAAATGGCAGGTTCTGGCCGGTGAAGTCCGTGGTGTGAGGAGTTTGCTGTGCCCGCACCACAAATAAAACGAGTGATTCTGATCACTCTATGAGAGCAGATGCCTCCAGTCTAGGAGATATTCATGACCTGGACAAAATTCAGTTGGAAAAGTCTGTCCGGATGTTCTCCAAACTCTGCATGTGGGCACTGCCTCCACCTGATTTCAGGGGCACAAGCATCCCAGTCCTCCCGACCGACACAGCAAATGGCTTCTTTTCCCAGTTTAATTATTGAAACTCATATCTCACTACTGAGTTTCCCCACTTTGTCAAGAGTTTCCCATTTTAATGACCAGGCTACATAGGCTGGGTACTGTAATTCAGTCACATCTCTATTTGCATGAAATTGCTGGCTATCTTGATGATCACTTCTCAAAGCCTAATAATTGAGATACAGGCTCTTGTTTTTATTATTCTGGAAGAGAAACGTATTTTCCCAATTCTCTTTCTTTTCTGAGACACAGTCCCATACTTCATTAGTATGGCTCAGCTGTTAAATTTTGGTACTTTGCTGATCAAACAAAATGCTGCATCTAGTGGGAGATGAGGTTCTGCAAGGCTTCCCTGTCTTCTGCATAATTCACTAGCCATGGCAGTGGCCCCTAACAACTGTGTCTGCCTCGAGCAGCGGATGAGGCTTTCCATACTGTTCCACTAGGGTCTCCAAATCAACAGGATATTCTGTGAAAATTTCATCATTCAATGCTAATTCATTCCTGTTGCATCTTTTAGTTTCAGTTTTTATTTACTTATTTATTTATTTTCCTCTCTTGCCCAGGCTGGAGTACGGTGGTGCGATCTTAGTTCACTGCGGTTTCAACCTCCTGGACCCAAGTATTCCCACTTCAGTATTCGGAGTAGCCTGGGACCACAGGTGTGCACCACCACGCCTGGCTAGTTTTTTATTTTTAGTAGAGATGGCATCTTGCTATATTACCCAGGCTTGTCTTGAACTCCTGGGCTCATGGAATCCTCCTGCCTCGGCCTCCCAAAGTATTCAGATTACAGGTGTGAGCCACTATGCCCAACAGCATGTTTTCGTTTGACTATTCACAGGATGTGAATAAGTCACAATAAGCAGGCTGCTCTAACAATGGCCATCCAACTCTTTCAGAGGCAAAATCACGTCATAACTCCATCCACACCTTTCCATCCCTGTCTCCACCCACTGGAATAAACAGCCATCCTCTCACACCTGGACTGCCACAGGGGACTCCAAACCCATCTACCTAGGTCTGTCCTTGTCCTCCGTTGTCCCCGTGCTTCACCCAGAGTGACCTTTTCAGATGATAAATATGATCACAATGAACCCATCTCCCCAGTGGCTCCCCAATACTCGTAGGCTAAAGAAAGAGCATCTGGACTCTTAGACTTAGGAAATTTCCATTCTGCTCAGCCAAAGAAGTAACCGTCATGGACAAAGACCAACCATAGATTTTCAACCCATCTGATGAAAGACCGACAGGGAAAAAGGACATGTCCAAATTTTTGTGGATTCAAAGTTTCATCCAAAGATTATTTGATAATTGCAAAGGCAGGAAGAAGTACATATTTTCACATGGAGAGATCTGGAAGTTATCAGCTTTTAAACCAGTGGTCAAATTTAGCAACGGCAGTAGTGGGTCAGCATGACACGCCCAGCTTCCTAAAGCAACAGAAAGCGTTCAATACCAACACTGAAACCCTCTTGCCAAAGAGTTGAGCTTGACTCTCAGAACAAGCTCTGGTTTGCAGATCATACAGGGGGATAGAGAAAGCAGTGGAAAGGTATATTACAAGGCAGCACTAAAAAAAATCCAGAATGGGAGATAGTCTATAAAAGCTAATGGATTGGTCTCTCCAAAAAAATTAAAAAGCAATGCTATGAAAAGAAAACAATGTGATAATGATGGATTTATTTTAGAAAAAGGAAGATTAAAGAGACACAATCACCAAATGTAAGGGCTGGAAAGGACATAAAGGTTTGGAAAGAATGGAAATCTGAATATAAAAGGCACGAGGGGTGGCTGCTACATTCTCATGGAAGAGTAAGATCACCGGAGGATGGTTTTACTCCCCAGAGAATGTTTGCAGAACAACATAGGGCAGGAGCATCCCCCTGCCTCTCACTGACTGAAAGGGGTTGGCTGGATAGATAGAGGCACGTGGAGACACGTGCTTGCAACTGATGAATTCAGGTGGTGGTAGTCACGGTTTCCATTGCACTTTTTGGTTTTTTTTTCGATAGGGTCTCACGCTATCACCCAGGTTGTAGTGCAGTGGCATACTCTGAGCTCGCTGCAGCCTCAAACTCCTCGGCTCCAGCGATCCTCCTGCCTCAGCCTCCCAAGTATCTGAGACTATAGGCATGAGCTATCATGCCTGGCTAATTTTTTTTTTATTTTTGGTAGAAATGGGGTCTCACTATGTGGCCCAGGCTGGTCTTGAATTTCTGGGCTCAATAGACCCTTTCGCCTCGGCCTCCCAAAGTGCTGGGATTACAGGTATGAACCACTGAGCCTGGCTCCATTGTATTATTCTTTCAGCTTTTCTGGATTTGTAAAATTATTTTTTGTGATCCACAGGGGAAAGAGAATAAGTAAAACACCGGTGACATCTGAGTAAGGTCAGATAAGCTCTTTCCCTTGCAGGATCTGAAGCTAACCCCAGGTAGATAGTGTCAGAACTGTAGGACATCCAGCTGGTGTTGGGGAATGGATTGTGGTGGGAGAGACCCACACACTTCTGGTCACAGAAATGTGAGTGTAGGGAAATGCAGTGTGTGTTTTTTAAAGCAACACAGTGGGAATTTGTGACAAGTGGCAAGACAACACTCTCCTCTAAAAGTCCCCCAGCCCTCCTCGTTCCCTTCTAGCTGACTTCGGAGACTCTGGGCACATTCTCTGCTTCTGTTACTGAGATGTGGACACGTGGCAGCCAGCAGCCGTTTGGGCAGATCAGCATCTCCAATGTGGAAGATTCTACAGATTCTCTGTGGTTCAAATCCCGAAGGGTTGGGATAGCCTCCCTCCTGAGAGAGTTCAGAGCTGAACGTGTCTACTGTTCTTCTCCTCCGGATCCGGCTTTCCACTTGTGCTCTATATGCTCACTGTCAGTGGTGTTGATAGTTAAGTGTGATTTTGTATGAAAATGACTCACCCAACCAAAAAGGGCTAAATTTGAGAACCTGAATTGTACCTGTTAGACGGAAGTAGTCTCAAGAAAATGGTTTTGGCTACTTTCATACTGAAATACTAAATAACTTCCAATGATTTCGCACAAAATGATCTTTTATTTAATAGTTGTCAGAATAGAAAAATAGTCATATACTCCCAGGCATAGTTAATAGGTAGGAAACACATTTTACAAAGGTTCTGACAGATTAACCATGGTTATTATCTCTCCAGTCTAAACTCGTGGTATGCAAACCACAAGCGTCATTTCTCTTCTTTTTCTTTTTTTTTTTTGAGATGGAGTCTAGCTCTGTCACCCAAGCTGGAGTAAAGTGGCACAATCTCAGCTCACTGAAACCGCCACCTCCCAGGTTCAAGCCATTCTCCTGCCTCAGCCTCTCTAGTCGCTGGGATTACAGGCGCCCACCACCACACCCAGCTAATTTTTACATTTTTAGTAGATACAGGATTTTGCCATGTTGGCCAGGCTGGCCTCAAACTCCTGACCTCATGTGATCCACCCGCCTTGGCCTCCCAAAGTTCTGGGATTTTAGGTGTGACCCACCATGCCCGGTCAACATCATGTCTTATTGGAAATCAAACTCTCTGCAAATAATAGATTTTCTGAACTGTTGTGTCTATGGAAAAACATCCTCTGGAAAACTGGGACCACAACATCTGATCCTGGGATCTGAGCAAAGACAGGCGGCACACACTTGGAATTCAGCAAGCCACGGTAATTGTTTTGTTTTATTTCATTTGAGATGGAGTCTGGAGTATTGCTCTGTTGCCCAGGCTGGAGTGCAGTGGCGCAATCTCAGCTCACTGCAACCTCCACCTTTGGGGTTTAAGCAATTCTCCTGCCTCCGACTCCTGAGTAGCTGGGATCACAGGCGTGTACCACCATGTCTGGGTAATTTTTGTATTTTAAGAAAGACTGAGTTTCACCATGTTGGCCAGGCTGGTCTCGAACTCCTGACCTCAGGTGATCCATCGCCTCTGCCTCCCAAAAGGCTGGGATTACAGGCATGAGCCATCGCGCCCAGCCCACCACAGTAACGTTTAAATACCATTCAGCATCATCACTTTTCACTTACCTTGAAGATTCCTTACCAATCACAGCACTTAATAGTTCAGATTAAATGATTTTACACAGTTTGCATGTGTGGATTTTTATGAAGTCATTGTCCTAAAAAAGGGCGAAGTACTAATTGGAGTCCTAACTTTTCCAGATGGGTAAATCTTCTATTTCTGAAGACTTTAGTATGCAGCCTGGAACATTATCTAAGAAACCGTTCCTTTAGCTTTAAGCTACAATGGTTTTTACACTGACCAAAGGTGGGTGTAGGGTGTAGTTTAGATTCACTTATGAGATAAACTGTTACACACATACAATCTGATTTTGCTATGCCATGTTTTCCAAAGAATCATGGCATATAAACAGGATAGAGGTTACGTATTTGAGTATACGCCTACTGTAAACTACTCATTATTATTCGGAGAAATCCCAACAGGGGCATACAAACATATACATATGATTGTTTCCTTACTTTTATTTAAAGGAAGCTGCTAGGACTTTAAGGCGTAGATCCATTCTTGTCCTTAGAAACGTTAAAGTGCAGTCACAGGCTGCATAGTAAACATTTTGGTCAATGACAGACTGCATATGTGTCCGTGGTCCAAAAATTATAATGGATCATGGACATAATGCTTACCACCTAGTGACATCACAGTCAGTGTATTCTAACTGCCTATAGTATTCAGCGCAGTCACATGCTGTACAGGTGTGTGGTGTAGGAGCAGTAGGCTAGACCATCTAGCCTCAGTGCATAGCTGGCTCCAGCATCTAGGTTTAAGTAGAAGTACACGTCATGAGGATCGTACAATGATGAAATCAGCTGACGATGCATTTGGCAGAATTAAACAACACATGACTCTGTGTATGTGTGTGTATAAATATAAAAATATCCTTTTTTAAAAGATTATTTCTAATACATAATTTTCTTATTATTGCCACTACAGATATATAAGAAAATTATGTATTATATATATAGTGGCAACAATAAGAAAATTGTCTATTAGAAATACATAATTACAAATACTATATATATATATAGTGGCAACAATAAGAAAATTATGTGTTAGAAATAATCCTTTGAAAGCAATCATACAGATCATTCTCTTCTTCTCAGTTCTTAATAAGACACATGTCAAGTGCAACAACCCATGTTCTAGAACAACAAGCACATGGCTGTATTCTGCAGGTATCTATTGGTACTCTATGACAGCAGTCCCCAACCTTTTTGGCACCAGGAACCAGTTGCATGGAAGACAATTTTTCCATGAACCAGGGGGTGTTGGGGCAGGTTTCAGGATGAAACTGTTCCATCTCAGATCATCAGGCATTAGATTCTCATAGGGAGCAGGCAACCTAGATCCCTCTCATGCGCAGTTCACAATATGGTTTGTGCTCTCATTAGAATCTAATGCTGCAGCTGATCTGACAGGAGGCGGATCTCAGGTAGTGATGCTTGCTTGCCCACTACTCAGCTCCTGCTGTGTGGCCCAGGGGTTGGGGCCTGTGTTCTACAGAAACTTATAGATCCTCAGAAATGGAATCGAACAGTTCAAGTCAACACGCAATCATGAAGTCTGCCAAGAAGTTTGGCTGCAGCTTTGCAGAGGATATCTGCCATATGGCAGTGTGATTTCAGGTCATTAGGGAGGTAGCTCATAAGCAATAAATTCCCCTCTATTATTCTAATTAAGTTGTATCATAGTTTCACTGAGGATGACTAGAGAATTATTTGGAGAAATGCTGATGAGCTTCCATGATTAGAGCTAATTAATAACGGAGTACAACTTAAAGCTGAAAAGTCACTCTGGCTTCTGCTATTAAAAAAGTCAACCAATAAATGAATAGAAGTCAATGGGAGTCTATCCATGGATAACGTCTCCAAATTTTCAATTATCCCAAAGGAGAGGAGACTGTCACCAAGAAAGACAAGAGATTTCCTTAGTCGTGGCCCCTGAGTCATTCTCCACTCTGCCCTAGAAGCAAGTCTGCAAGTGCGGACCCTTGTCTTGTTAGAAACAAGGCTTCACTCAGACCTTCCCAGGAGGCTTTTGAAATCAATCAGAGACAAGTTCTTATGCAAATCCTATTTTAAATGAATATATTGATATCAGGCTTTTGTCTAAAGTGCTGGTCTAAAGGACCAGGGACTTTAGACAAAAGCATGGTCCTAAAACACGGTTATGTGAACAGGGTGAAAGGAACACTTACTACTACATCAGTCCTCATTTTCCCAAAAGTCTTGATTAAGTGGGCATAATGGTAATCTTCCATTTGTCGTAAAATAGCTGTCATGCAAGCCACGAAGTTTCCCTGTAAATGAATCAAAAGATAGAATTAGATGAGACAGAACAACACTCATGGGAGAGGCCAATATCATCCCAGATTCTGGGACTTAAAACTGTCAGGGAGAAGCAACAAGACATGGGCAGGGAGCTCTCAGTTCTGCTGCCCCTTGCTCAAGGCTGATCAGCATAAGGTATGGGTCACTTCCAACCTCAGGAATATTTTTTGTGGTAGGGGGTCCTTAGTATATCAAGTTGCAAGTAGAAAGAAAAGCAAAACCCTTGAAGGGGTATGACAATGCTGAGGACATGAGCAAAAAGTCACATGAGGGAGAAACACCAGCGCACTCAAACTCAGGGCTGTATTTTGTTCTCTCTAACTGTTAGTACCTCAAATCTTTGCTGATACAGGTTGTCCGACTGTAAAAAAAAAAAGTTGTAAATATTTCTGCATTACACACAAGAAAATTAAAAACAGGATGGAAATGATAGGCACTTCTGTTTTGTGCTCTTTTGGAAATGTGCTGCCCTTATTATCAGGCAAAATGTGTGTGCAGCCTCTCCTCTTGGGCCACGGCACAGAAAGGCCTCTAATTTCTCAAAATCAGCCTGTATCCCCCCGTGCCTGACGCGGAGGCAATCACCACAACACCAAAATGAGTTATGGCCCAATTCTCCTCCCTAAGAAGAAGGAGAGGAGGAATGCGGGCTCATCAGAATGTCAAGTGGGAGAGACACGAGTTTCTCAGACCAGACAGAGCTGGGTGGAAAGGAAAAGGAGGAAAAAAGAAAGCAACACAGAAAATCAAGAAAGGGAAAGGTGAAAGGCCAAAGCTGAAAAGTCTCTCTGGCTTCTGCAAATGGAGGCAGCCAGTACGTGGGTGGACGTGGGTGTGCACACATCTGCTGGCGTGTCCTGAAGGTCGTCTGATTTGGCGGTGGGTTGTGAGCTAGGTAGTCGTTACCATTAACTGCAGTTGTTCACTGGTAGGGTTTGTAGCTAACAACACTATAAAGCCTTCCTTGCTTTTAAATATTTCCGCCTCCGTTAACGACATTTTAAGGAACACCGGATATATATTTCTTTGCATTAAACCAGTACAAGTTCGGTAAAATTATAGCATGAAACACACTTTGAGACATGTCCCTATTTTTCCCCTATTTAATGAGCTATCAAATTGCATTCTTTTACTAACTCTCCTTTTACCAGCAATATATCAGAACGCCTAAATATCTTTTGTATTAATTTGGAATACAGGCTTTCCAGTGAAATGTTAAAGTTCAGTATTTTCTTCAATCCACTTTATACCTATAGTATACATATATGCTTCCAATGAGTCCTCCAAGGATACAATCCACAAACTGAACAAATACGATAATGATGATATAATATCTTCCATTTGCCCAGAAATAAAAATTATTTGTGAATGATAATTGCTGAGATTTAGATTCCAAGCTGGTGTTCAGGGAAACGGCTAAATAATGTTTGTTTTCCATCGAGGCAACGATTAGTAAAATGGCAAAATGGTCTATTTGTGAACTTTTGAAACACATAAATATTTGGCACACCATTCAGCCCAAGAGAGGCTGCCTTTGTATCTTGTCTACTCCTTATGACAGAGATGCATCCCGTGGATAGTCATCGTAATACTATCACACACTGATCAAGCGCTGTGCTAAGCCTGTTAGAACTATGGCTCTTTTGACACTCTCACTTTAACAGAATACGGCCTCTTTAAAGGCCGGGCGCGGTGGCTCACGCCTATAATCCCAGCACTTTGGGAGGCTGAGGTGGGTGGATCACGAGGTCAAGAGATCGAGACCATCCTGGTCAACAAGGTGAAACCCCGTCTCTACTAAAAATACAAAAATTAGCTGGGCATGGTGGCGAGCGCCTGTAGTCCCAGCTACCCGGGAGGCTGAGGCAGGAGAATTGCCTGAACCCAGGAGGCGGAGGTTGCGGTGAGCCGAGATCGCGCCATTGCACTCCAGCCTGGGTAACAAGAGCGAAACTCCGTCTCAAAAAAAAAAAAAACAGAATACAGCCTCTTTCAATCACACAAAACATTCTCCTCCTGTCCTGCTTTTCAGGCAGTGAAACTGAGGCTTAGAGGTTTCACCCTCTGAGGGAGTGAATGGCAAAGCTGGGTGTGCAGGCTGCACTATACGGCAGGTACTTACTGGCTAACCTTATTTCTTTACCCCTCGTCCAGATGCACATTAATCCTTTCTCTAAGGAATCTGAGGCCGCTACTGATGACCAACACAAGGCAGAGATTCACTTTCCCCTACTCTTGCAGTTGTCAGAGAAAGTTGGAAGAGGGTGAGGAAGAAGAGCCTTCAAAGTACTCTGCCCACAATTGATCCTGACACAGTCGCTGTGACCCAGATTCTTCTCTTTCCCATGAGATGAGGAGCTTTTCTTGCTCAAGAAGAGGCCTGTATCAGCCTCGGTGAACCAAGTAGGTGCTGAAATCCATTTTCTGTAGTCAAACCAGTTGCACAATGGAGACTCACACATTAGAATAAGTGAAATCACCAGGTCAGCTATTTATCACCAGAAGCAATGTATCAACGTGCTTAACTTAAACTATCAGGCTGAAAGTAGAAAGAAAAGCATCGCCCTTGAGGGGGTCTCAAAATGCTGAGGGCATAAGCAGAGAGTAACATTAATGAGAAACACCAGTGCAGCCACACTTCGGCCAGATGCGGGAACAGGTGACGTGGACATACTGAACTCAGGGAGCAGACTGCCAAATAATGCTGAAAAATTCATGCAAGGCAACGCATGCCAGAGCCGTTGTGACACAGAAAACGGAAAACTGAAGAGAACACAGCAATTTCCATAAAGCAAGTCCTGCGAGGATGTAAATGCCCTGTTGGGAAGTCTCCACTGACAAGAGTGTCACAGAAAAGACAACCAAATGGCCTCTAGTTAAACCACAATGGGGATTAATTACAGGAGGCCAGAAAGGCCAGAGGACGGGCTATCGCCACCAGTCAGAGGCAGTGCTGCCGGGCATCACGTGTTCCCTTTTTACTAAACCGAAGGAAATGTTACAAAAGTCATTTACACTGCTCAGTCTTTCCTTTCTTAGCAAACGTAAGTCTTGCTATTTCAGTTCTTTTCTAAGTTGAAGCATGGGCTCCATGAGGAAAGAGATGACCTGCATATTAAAATTCACTGAAACACCCCTCCCTGTCCTCCCCGCCCTTTGGGAATGGAGCCCCATCCTTGCGGTATCGGCATTTTCACTGGACAAGTACTGTAGATACCATGAAGCCTTATGGTTTCCACGAACACAGCAGAACCCTGCAGCGTATCTGTGGGCTTATATGGGTGGATGAAATGGGTACTCACGGAAGCCCTTTGAAACCAGTCATTTATACGGAACAAAAAAAGGGAGCTCTGTGAAAATAAAACTGTAATTCTGTGGGCTCAGAAGAAAATGACTATTCTGTGCTTTAATTGATTTATTTCAAATGCATTTGGGAGATGACTGCTAAATGCTTTTATTTTTTAAACAATGGGTAGCCTAGCAGGTAGGCTGGAGCAAGCCACTGTGCAGAACTCATCCCAGGGCCTGACCGCAGGGACTCCAGCACCAGCAGCTGAGTAAGAATCAGTCAGTTAAGTAAAAACAAGATATACTCCTTTTAACTTCAAAGCAATGCAAAATAGGGCCACAGAAGTCAGGATATACTCACAGAAAATGTAAAAACCAGGACACTAAATGCCTGATAAACAACAACAACAAAATGTGAACCTCATTAGTAATCAAAGATGAAAATGGTACATCATTATTCGCCTGCCAAAATAGCAAAGAAGTATTTAAATAATGATAATGTGAGCAAGGGTGCAGGGGATGAGGACTCTTACATGCTGTTTGCGGGAACATAAATTGCTATAACCTTTTTAAAAAGTGATTTGGAGACAGGTTTGAAAAGTCTTGAAAATAAATACCATCTCCTCAGTAATTCTACTTCTAATAAGCCACCAAAGGAATCAATTCAAAATAGAAAATTTCATACCCAAAGACGTCCATAGCATTGCTGAAAACCCTAAACATCCACCACAAGAAACTGTGTAAATGATATGATGTTTTGTAGGACTGCAAGATAAAATATGGATGCCTAGCTCCATTTGAATCTCAGATAAACAAAGAAAAATAAATATGTCCCTGATGTTGCAATGAAACATTACACGAGACACACATATACTAAAAAGAAACAAATCTGTTGTTTACCTAAAGTTCAAGCGGAACTGGATGTCCTACATTTTCATTTGCGAAATCAAGCAATCATAACTTGTGTTATGATGAAATACTGTGCAACCATTAAATCATTAAACATTAGCTATGAAAATATGGGGCATTTTAATAGCATGAGAAAATAACTGAAGAGGAAAACAGGAGGAATTACGTATACTCATTTGAGCAATATAAAGAATATATAGTAAAAGAAAAACGAACAAAAAATTACTAGAAAAAACAGATACCGGATAGTCATGACGGGAAGGAGACTAAGCCCAGATTGTTTTCATAAAGTGAAAATATGTTAATATTTTTAAAGATGGTCCAGAGAGAAAACGATCTCCTCTGGCAGAAAGGACAAACTCCCTGCCTGCACCTGATCTAGTTCCACTTCTTAGTTCCTGGTCTTCAAAACTCTCTCTCAGGGATCCCCTGTCGGTGTGGCCTTGGATACTGCCTGGCACTGCTCCTGGAGGGAGCCCTGGACAGAACTCGCCGCAGCACAACCCCAGCCCTCCTGCAAGTATCTCTGTGCCCCAGTTTTAAATCTGTTTGGGTCCCCATTTCAATAGGTAGGTGGATAGGCAAAATGGAGAACAGGTAGAACTGACCACAGGGAGAAGGAAAGACAGAACTGAGTACAGGTAGAATGGACCATAGACAGAACTGACGCTGGGGAGACGGAAAGGCAGGTAAATTGGGCACAGGTAGAATTGAGCACAGGTAGAACTCACGCTGGGTAGACAGAAAGACAGAACCAATCAGATAGGATGGA